AACATATGTTTTTTTTTGGTAAAGAATGAAAACTAAAAACAGCAAACAACTCAAGACATAGAGTCTTTCCCTAACTGTAACAGGACAAACTCTGGAGGACTCCTCCAAAATACATTGGAACTTATGTTCCGTACACCCCAATTAGCCAGCGTATGTGCTACTGAATTTATCTCTCGAGGTATATGACTCACGTAAACAACCCAGTCCCTAGCTAGCAAGCGCTTAATTCGACGAATCACATCATAGTGATTATGCAGGTAATCCCTATCCATGGATCGCTCTTGAAACAGCATAGCAGCTCCTAGGCAATCACATTCGCACCTCACCTTCCGAAACCCACCTTCCCAACAACACGTTAAACCATCCTCCAAGGCCAATAACTCGGCACGTAACGCATCACCATGTAAAGTTCCACGCGAGAAACCCCCCCGCCACATACCTGTCCAATCTCGAATTGCGCCGCCCATCCCCATAGCATAAGATCCAGTCAACCAGCTCCCGTCCGTGTTGAGTTTGACCCACGGATGTTCCGGAGGCCTCCAACGGGTTGACTCATCCCCTAAGCACCTCTTCACGTTATACACATTATTCTCCACCATAGACAGTGTGACCTTCCGACGAACCACCGAAATCGTCCAAGGCTCAGCGGTAAACAACATGTTATTTCTAAACCGCCAAACCCACCATAAAGTGATGGATAACTTAATAGCATCCTTATGCAAAATAATCCCTTTCAACCACTGGAAACAATCCATTACCGAGAAAGCCCATCCCACACTGAACCCACCAGACACCAGCACCTCTCGCGAAAACGGGCAATCACGAAGTGCATGTAAAATGGTTTCGTGAGGGCAAGAGCAACGCGAGCATGTACCAGAGTCAGCCAACCTCCTATCAGCCCAAACCTGATTTGTTGGAAGGGCTGAATGAAGGCCTTGCCACAGAAAGAACTTAATCTTCTCAGGAATCTTCAACTTCCAGATCTTCTTCCACACTTCATCCCCCTCCGTTGACAGTACCGTGGTTAGAAAATGATACCCAGACGCCGCTGTGTAACATCCCGAGCTATCCCCCCTCCAAGCGAAATGATCCAGCCCCAAAGAAGAATTGACGATACTCAACTGTTGGACCGAATGTATCAGTTCCGTCGGGAGCGCAGTATACAAAGCAGTGAAGTTCCAAGCACCACTAACCCAGCAATCTGCAACTGTTTTGTTGGTGTCTGCAATATGGACGAATGGGACTTTCCCACACCAAAGCCCAGTACCTGACCAGTCCGTGTACCAAAGGGATGAGGCACCCGACCCCAATTGAGGCACGAATCCCTCACGGAGATAAGGAAGGGCCTTTATAAACATATGTTAAATACAATAAATAGCTTTTATTACAAACTAAAAGAAAAGAGGCACATATTTTTTTATATATATTTATTTAAAGTTTAAAATATAAAATATATATATATAAATCATGTGGATGGTTTTTAATTGAAATGTGAGTGGTTTGAGTTAGTCAAGAGGTAAAATTACCAATAGAAATGTTTACACAAAAATTATGTATTTTTATATATTGTTATAGGTATTTTATTTATCTATCAAAATTATAATGATAATATTAAAAATTGAATCTAAGATTTTGTGCATATTATATTAAACTCACTATTATATAATAAATATTTAAAGAATATTTGATAATTTATTTCTTATACTGGTATATTAAAAAATATAAATATCAAAATATAACATTAGTCATATTTAATACACTTTAAATATTTAGTATAACGTAACTATCAACATATATTGAAAAATTCATTGTAATTAGGTTCTTAATTATAAATGTCGTAGCAAATTGCATGGCTCCATTTCTTCAAGTTTCAATTAAAACCACGAAGCAGTTATGTACACACTACCCCCAATTTCTATCATCACTAGGTCGCTTTAGTGGTTGGAATTCTTATATATCATTCTGATGGTAAAATATTATTGTCCTACAATATAGCTATAACTACAAGGTTTAAGAATTGTGTTTTAATAACTATTAGGAGAAAGCCACTTTAATATTATATTTTTAATGAAATTTTAAGAGAATATGGTTGAAAAAGAAAAAAAAAATATTGATCAGACTGAGAACAGGTAAAAATAGAAGTTAGCAAGAGTTGGTGGATTATTTTAAAAAAAATTATAAAATATGTAATATGATTTCAAAAGTAAAAATATCTAATTAAAATAGAAACTAAACATAGGTTATAAAGAATAATCCTCTTTATAATAGGGATATATAATTTTTTTTAGACAATTAAATAACACCAATAAAGAAAAACTAATAAATTCATTTATTTGAAATCATGAAGAAAGAAATTCATTTAATTTATTGGTTAAAATATTTTTTAGTTCTTAATTATAGTTTCACTAACTATACATTTTAGTTCTTATAGTTTAAAATAAGTATTTTTAGTCACTATACTTTTATTTTTTTAATCACTACAATAAATGTTATATATAGTGACATACAAAAAATGTCATTATAAGTATAATATATGTAAGTATATATCTATTTGGCATATAGTTACACACAATTTTAGTGTTGATTTTGAATGAGATTTAACAACATATTTTGTGTGTCATTATAGCTTATAGTCACACCTTTTAAATATATATCAACATATATTATATTTATTGTGTAGGTAAAAGTAGTTTTTAGTGACACATATTATGTCAATATAGAATGTGTGTCACTATATGACAATTTCCTTGTAGTGAATCTTTTTTAGTCTCTGCCATTAATTTCTTTCTAACATTGTTTCATGTAAATGACACGAGTTTATTTAATTAATCCATGCGATGTATTGGTTTTGAGAACGAAAAAAATGAATAGTATTGATAATTTTGTGAATATTCAATACTTATTATAACTAAATGTGATCTAAATGAACGATCAAATTGTTGATGATTGTATAATAAATCATTAAATGACAAATCGTCATCTAAAAAATCAAATACATCAACATCACATAAATTTAATAAACCAACATCCCACACAAAATGGTTTACAAAAAAATTATTGGCAACTCAACAAGGACTATAAGAAGGATTAAAAATGTAATTATAGAGATTAAAAATATCTATTTTAAACTATAAAAGTTAAAAAAATAAAGGTAATGAAAAAAGTTATTTTAACATAATTTATTACATTAATGTACTCCAATAAACTAATACCATAAAATATTCATTTAATTTATCCCATTAATACACTCCAATAAATTAATACCATCTTTATTAAAAAAACACAAAAAAGAGAGGCATGGGCCACTTGCTTTTCATCTTTATCAAATGAGAGCATATTTACTCTATTGACTCCCGTCTTCTCCAAGAAGAGCATATTCCCTCTATTGAATTTCTTACTCAACTCAGGTAATTCTTGTCACTCTCAACCTTTCTTCAATTTTTTACATCATGATTTAATTATTCTGTGATTCAATTTGAGTTTAGTTCTTCACTTTAATTAGTCATCAAAATAAGGCTCTTTCAACCAATTCTTTTAGAAAGGTTTTGCTTTTAAGAATTTGGGCATTCTGTCTTCCTTTTCATAATTATATATGGTATAATTTTTTGTTTTTGAATTCACCGCATAACTAGAATTTTTTTTTTATTTTATTAAAGCAATTATTTTTTTTGCTATAAAAAATATTGTTGCTAGATTCGTTTGAACCCGTGAAAATTCTACATCTTTGTATAAGAAATTGAAATTTTTGCCGTCCCTTTTAAAATTATGGTATGATTTTCATTGTTATTAACCATAAGCTATTTAACAAGAAATTATATTTTCTATTTTATTAGAAGGAATGTTTTTTTGAAATTCATTTGGGTTTAATATTAATGGATTATCATCAATACATTTAACATATCATCAAAGTCGATTCAACATCAATATTGATTCAACGTATTATTAGACTTAAAATAAATTTTAAAGTGAGATTTTTTAAAAATTAATAATAATACTTGTTGATAAAGAAATTAAAAATACTTTAAGATGGGGTTTGAAAAAAATTATTATATTTATATATTTTTTAAATATAGACTTTTTAAAGTGAATTTTTAAGAATTAAAAAAACAAATTTTAAGTTATGGAATCTTAAAACTTTATATAAATATTAATATAAAAAAAAAAAAATTTTGAAAGGATGATTTTGTTAACCTCATCGGTTTGCATCGCATCCACGTGATATATGATGAATTGTTTACCAACACATATTCACCAACACACACAACACATATCAATTTGGTTCATTAAAGTTATCGAGCAAATTATATGGATGACTTAATGAACTAATTTGGAACTATTAAGATATAATTCTGCATCACGATTCTGTAAAAGAGCAAGTAAAATACTACAAAGATATTTTCAAGCAACTAAAAGTACGAAGAGGTATCAAAACGATGTACTTTTAGGCGTGTGGGTGTAATATGGTTGAATAATGATGCATGTACTTTTTTTTTTTATACTTTTACAATGATAATGATACAATTTACTCTTTTTAAATTTCTAGGTTGGTTATGACTCAGTGCAAGAAAAAGGTTGGTGATGATGACCATATTGATCGAATTAGTGACTTGCCAAGAGATGTAATTGTAAACATATTGGAATCCTTACCCATCCGAGACATAGTTAAAACTAGTATATTATCAACGAAATGGAGGTACAAGTGGACTTCAGTTCCACAACTGAAGTTTACAAATATTTCTTTTGAGAAATGTGAGAATTTTGAAATTCCAAATGTTATTACGAGGGTACTTTTGCTTCATCATAGCTCAATACAAAAGTTTACTCTTCACATCCCTAGAAACTCTCCAATTAGAACTAAATGTCTCAATAACTGGATTCTGGATTTATCCAAAAAAGGGATTCAATTTCTTAACCTTGTGAACCTACAATGTTTTCCTTTACAAGCACCGTCACATATCTTCTCTTGTGAAGGATTGACTCATCTTGATCTTCACAATTTTATGCTATCAACTGTGCCTGATTTTGGTGCCTTTAAGAGTTTGGGGACCCTTTACTTATCTGATGTTAGATTTGAGCCCAATGTTTTTGAAAGCCTTATGCTTGGTTGTCCATCGCTTGTGACACTCGACATTTCACATTGTTCGGGTTTAAAAAGTATCAATGTCTCTTCTCCTGTTCTCGAAATCTTAAATCTACAAGGTGATCAAGCTACTGAGTCAATTTGTTTGGAGAATGCTAAGAATTTGACTGATCTTGCACTCCTGGCTGATAGACCTGGAGATAACTTTGAGAGAGACACAATATCTAATTTGATCAAGGGCTTGTCAAAAATTAAAAGCATTTGTCTCGGAGAAGGTTACTTTAAGGTTAGCAAACCACAACATATTTGTAAGTTTATTTATTATTGTTTATGGATATATGATTTGTTACCCTTTACATCAACTTCATAGATGTTACCCTTTACATCAACTTCTTAGATTTTATTTAAATTTATAGCAATTTATTAAAAGCATTTGTCTCGGAAAAGGTTTCATTAAGGTTAGCATACCACAACATATTTGTAAGTTTATTTATTATTGTTCATTGATATATGATTTCTTACCCATTACATCAACTTGATAGATTTTATTTAAATTTATAGTAATTTATTAAAAGCATTTGTTTTGGAGAAGGTTACATTAAGGTTAGCAAACCACAACATATTTGAGAGTTTATTTATTACTGTTTATTGATATATGATTTCTTACCCTTTACATCAACTTCATACATTTTAATTTATTTAAATTTATAGTAATTTATTAGTTGATATATAGACATATTTTTTTTTAATTATACAACTTAACATGCATAATTGAAGGGAACGGAAGCTATTAAGCTATATATATTTAGCATAGTGAAACTGAGGGCTAATAATAGTAAATCATATTATGGTTTTATTTTTGATAGTTTTACACATCTCTTTTACCTAACTTAACTGTATGATTTGATTTTCTAAGGTTTGGTATCGATTTATCATATGATAGAAAGAGATGGTTGCATTTTTGCTTGTGGATCAACATTTTTAATCTGGTGTCTTGACTTATATTTAGAAAGTTGTGTGTTTTCTAGTTGAACATATACAAATACATTTCAAATTTTTATGTTTGTTTGTATAGATCTTCTCTATAGGTTTTCCAAAGAGGCTGCAAGGCTCACTCAACTGCTTAAAACATGTAGAACTGTATGGTGTGGATTTCACCGAAACAAGGGAGCTTCTATTTGTTATTTCTTTACTTAAAAGTTCTCCTAATATAGAGAAACTTTTAATAGAGGTGACAAGAATACATCTTAATTTATTAGTTTGTTTTTTTTTTAGTTGTCATATCTTGGCTCATTCTATTTTTTTCATTCTTTTTTTCAGAGTCATAGCAATAACTTGGATTTAGGACTGCAACATACATTGGATGAGTCAATTTACGACCGTTGTTGCTTTACTCAGCTTTTGACTGTGAACATCATAGTTAAAAATGCGTGTAACAGTACACTAAAGTTCATAAAGTTTTTGCTGGCAAATTCCTCATCCTTGGAGATCCTTTCTTTTAACGTTGATCTTGGTAAAGATCACTATTTGGTACCACATATTTCAAGGGATTTGCAGCAAATGGAACGAGCTTCACAAAGAGCAGAAGTTGAATTCATTTATGATGACATGATTGATTAGTGTACGTATTTGATATCCTCCAATGCCCGACTCCTCCTAGTGTATTGTTTTGTTTTATTGTAACTTTGAAACAAAAAACAAAACTTCACTAATATTTCCTGTTAAACTATTATAAGTTTGTGAATAGGTATGACTGCATCTATAAGATAAATAAAGTTAATAATAGACTTTAGTGAACACATTTTATTTTTTCCTTTTTATTCTTTATTATTATATAAAAAATATGTTCTATTTCTTTTTAATATATATGAGGGGGAAAAATCCATGTTGAACATTAAATGTCAACAATTATAAATAATTGTGAAAAGTTATAGAAATTGTGGTAGTCAAAAGTTATAAGGATATAAAGTGTTTCTACTTTACTATTAAACATATTTCTTTTTAGCCCATATTTCAGTGATGAATTATTTTGCTTTTCAATGTCAAGAGAGACGTTTTTTTTTTTAATTAAAAAAGTACTTTAAGGATAAAGATGTTGGATAGGATTCATCTAGATGGTTATAAAAATTTGAATTTGATCTTAGCCCAATATTTTGATTAGATCAATTAATTTTATAAGATTTGTGTGATTTGAAAAATATTGAATGTTAAAATTATATATATTATGCTGTGGCTCCTCTCACCAATATTAATATATGTATCACTTTTTAATTTGTGACTTTATCACTCATGCACTACTTTGTTACACCTTGTGTAGAGTTTATAAAAAGGTTATCACGTATTTTACGTGTAGGTAGAAAATTATGGCAGTTTAAAGAAAAAAGATGTCACAAAATTGTTTTAATTGTGACAAATTAAAGGAAAACATGCTTAAAAACGTCTTAATCGTGACAGTTTTTCTATACGAGAGAAAAACTTGTGATATTTTGTAAGTTGGGAGGCAAAATTTGTGAAAAATATTTTTTGATAAAAAAATGTTATATTGTGTAGCTTCGGAAATAAAAAGTGGAATTAAGTCAAAAGCATGTTCCTTTTATTAAAAAATTAATTTTTATAAATAAGAAAATAAAATTTAAAATCATTTCATGATATCAATTTTGAAGCCGGTTATATGAATAAAAATGATTTATTTAAAAAAAATAATCATGATATAAAAAGTATTATATCAAAGTAGAAATTTTTTGTAATTTATATTTAATATTTAAGAATTATTAATTTTATAAAATAATACGCTATGCATTGGCAAAATCATTAGCGTAATTTAGCCCTATCTCAAAAAACGTTTCAAGTATTTTATTTTATCTTTGGAAAACGTTAGGTCCTATTTTGTACCTATGAATATTAGGATGAAAAAATTATTTTATTGGATAAAAATTTGTAATTTTAATTCATTTATTTTTAATTAGAGATATTTAGTCTTCATATTTTTAAAATATGAAATTTTAGTTTTAGTATTAGTTTGATATTCATTAATCATTACATTTTAACATAATCTAATAATGTATTATCATTTAACTGATGTGATACATTGAGATAAAAATTAAAATAAATAATATATAAAAAATCTCTATTTGTAAATATTTTAAATAAAGAGAAATGACACAATAATTTATAGTGATTTAGTCATTATCATTGTGACTTACATCTAGTTTCTAATCAATTTGATTGAAATTTTTTACTATCTTTAGATTCAGAATATTATAATCACACCACACATGCAATAAATTCCTAAAATTGTAAAGATAGACCCATTTCTTGAACCCAAGAAATATCTCTTATAGTCATTGACTATAAAATCATTTAATCTTGAAAAACCTACTCAAGAACAATGATAAAAAAGAGTGTTAAAACAAATTTACCTAGATACAGAATCAATTAAAGAGATGAATTAAAGTCAAAATAACTTAGCCTTTCTCTCTAGTTGGATGATGATAATTTTTGAACCTCTTCTTGAAATTATCTTCAAAGGATCAAAGGATTCTTTCACAGAGAAAGTAGAGAATTTCAAAGAGTCTTTTTCATAAGAGATTTCACAAAGTTACAAGTATTTCAAATCTCTTTGTTTTGAGTTCAAAAATTGATATTTATAGAACTCTTTAACTAAAATAATCGAATATTTTTATGGATAATCAATTATTTTGTTTTTGATAAATTTGGAAATTAGCCAATAATACTTTAATCGATTACTTACAAGAATAATCAATTATTATAGAGTGTTGACTCTAAAATAATCAATTATTGTACATTGATAATCAATTATTATAATGAGCTTCTCAAAATAAGAAAACACAATGTAATTAATTAATAGATTATTACAAGTGGATAATTAATAATTTTGAGTGACAAACTCAAATTCTAGATTTTTCAAGTTTAAAATGAGTTTAAAAATATTTTTCATCATCAATCACCATCCAACAAGAAATACATGACTAAGTTACTCACAAAACATAAGCACACATCGATATAATTTGTACTCTCTTAAACATGAGAGACATTTTTTATAATCATCAAAACATAAACTAAGTCTTCAACATGAACTTGGTCAACAAACTCTCTCATTTTGATGATGACAAATACTTCAAGTTCTTCTTTATGACTTGATCAATACAAATTGTATGATTCAACAATGTAATGTAGCTTCTACTTGTGCATTTTTAATTCTCAACACTCAATGTCATAACTTGCAAACATCATAACACATTTCTCCCCTTTTGTACATCATCAAAAACTAAATAAGAGTCCAAAATTATAGAGAAATGACATGCAAATTGCAGATTTTGAATTCAATCATACATGATAGTGTGAATGAAAAATTTCAAACAACTTGTTCTTTACCCTTGAAGATTCATTGTCCTTCCTATATATGCATTCCCATGTGATGAAGTGAAGTTTTTCCTATTTTGTTGGATTGATACAAGACAATCTTTTTCTCTTCAGACAAATCTACTCCATAAACTTCAAACACCTTGGACAAGAGTAGAGCATAAGGCAGGGGTCCATCCTCCTTCCTTTTTGCCTTAATAATGTAGTTATTCACAACAATCACCTAATCTATTTTTATTTGCCTTAATATGATATTGTCATGTTAGCATATGGACAGTGGTATTATAGCAATTGTCTTAAATGCATGAGATGTTATTTTTAGAGTTCTATTATACATGACTTGCTGTATTAGTTTTTGGCTTTAGTAGTGCGTGAATAATGACTTATTATATGACATCGTGTGACTTATAACATATTGACTATTATGATTAACAAATACCCTATCTCAAATTTGACACGTGCTTAATTTAGGGTATTCTATTATTAATGTTATTTTCTTTTTTAAAATATATTATAAAAACTTATTAATTTTAATTTCTTATTTTTAAAATTATCTTTTTGAAAAAATAATTAATATAATTTTTATTTTATATATATATATATATATATATATATATTATCTAAATTATTAAGAGTTTATCAAAATCACCCAATCAAAACATTAGACGGAGATCGAATCAAATTTTGTTTAGCCTATCTGATGAGATCCTATATTCAACATGTTTATCCTTTATAAAGTACATTTTTTGTAAAAATAAAATAAAATGGTGCATCCTATTACCATAAAAAATAAACAAATAAATAAATAATAGTTCAACTTAAAGTGGGTACATAAAATTGTTGTGATGGTGCTTAGTTGTTATTTGTATATAAATTGTTATCCATATTTTGGAGTCCTTAATTACAATTGATACTACACAAATTCAAATTAGTTTTAAGCAGGAGTGATACAATCTTCTAGCTATCTCATATATATATATATAGTG